TCAAATGTCAACATCATGGTGGAGCAAGATGAAAAGTCAGGGGATCGGAGAAAAATTCCTCCTCTGGGTGCAGACTGTCTGAACATTTCATGGCAAGACATCCAATAGTTGTTGAAATCGTTGTTGAGATATTTCAAGTGGTGGACTGACTGACCAACATTACCATCAATAGATCAGGCTGTTCTCATACAGCGTTCGTAGCTAAAGCTACAAAAATGAATGCGAGGAAGTATACAGACCACAAACACTCACACAGGGAAGGTTGATGGGTACAAAAACAAAAACACTTAACTTCTGTAGTTATTTCAAACCAAACCAAGATCTTTTCCTTTACCTAACTGAAATGTTTCCTTTGAAGACAGAAGTTTCCTTTGAACAGAAGGTACGCATGTAACGAGTGGAAACTGACACATGATGCAAGACATGTGCAAACGCACAAAAAATGAGGAGTAACTTGTTTGGAACTTGTTTGATTAGATATCCGAATCTTTGTATGAGGATTTGTTGCATCGATCAAAAAAAAAGGAAGAAAGAAAGCAGAGAGGAGGGAGTGATGACAACATGATTTATTGAGCACATTGCTTGTGTTATTCACTGAAGTGTCTGCGGCTATGAATCCATCTACTGTCTGATACCACAAACGTGCTGCAAAGAATTGCATGAAATAAAAGCAGACACATTTGCTTGGCAACCCTGCAAACAGATTATTACAAACAAGTGGACTATAAACCTCTAACAACAATCCAATGAAAGGCAATGAAAAGGTGTGAGATAAGCCCATAATAAATCTCACACTGATGAAAGATCAAATCCTCCGCTGGCTACGACATCAAAACAGTGGAATATTTTCCATTGGGGGGATATTTTCAGGTCTCTTGGAGAGGTGTGCCCAGATTTTCATGCGTATCACAACTATCCCAACGTGGTTCTCGCCGGCAAGTCAGAACTGAGCCGCAGGCGTGATTTCTCCCGGCAAAGCGACCGATATCAGAACAAGCTGCAGGGTGCAACTTTGAGCTCCCGTGGCAACTTGGCAGGTAGCTTGTAAAGCCGTCATGTGGGTCAGTCTCCAAACAGCTCTGTCAACACAGCACAGCACCTCACAACAAAGGAAGGCTGATTAAAGTTGAGGGGGGCGTCGTCTGCACACCTGTTCATCCTCTGATATCAAAAAGGATCTCTTGTTTCTATTCACAGGCCGCACGCTGTTAACATCCTTCACAGTCTGTGACAGGCAGTGGGAGCAGCCGTGCGCAGAGCGAACCGGATGGATTGTTCGTACACATAGCCGAGTGATCTTCCCGGTGATTGAAGTCAGTTGATGATGGAGAACATGCGGGTTAGTTTCCAGCTTTTGGATTATAAGTCCTACCTTCAAACGGAATATCTAAGTGTGCAAAGACAGACAGAGAAGAAGGAAGAGGAAGGACAATTAGGAGGCATAGATGAGAAGATAGAGTGATGATTGGGATATAAAAAAAAGGAGTGAAAATCAAAACAGATGACATGTTACAATTAAAAACATATGAAAAAAGATGGTAATGGTAGCGATCTTGTTCATATCCGTTCGCCCAGCCCAGACGGTGTAGCATCTTTTACCAGATGAAGGTACATTTACTCAGCACTGTTTATAGCTGTGATACTGATCTGAGTACTGAGTTAATTTGCATTAAATTATATCTTCTAATTTTAAAATCTTCTTATACATTATGTCTATTGCATTTACACATAACATGTCATGGTGTTAATATAAAGTACTGTTGCATTAACATCGTGATTATACAGAGTACAGCATTTTTTCCTGCAAGTGTGTTATGATCAAAACTTTGTCAGGGGAACACAAGGATGAACATGAATAAAGTTTACCCAACCTATGCACAGAAAATGGGGCCAAAAGCTAAAAAAAGGCTGCTGAAGCACTTAAGGTGTAACGAGTGACATTTATGTATTCATTTATTTGAAGATGATTATCAAACAAAACATCCAGTATTACAGAAATAGAATCAAATAAGGCAACGGTGTCTCCAAGGGAAAAATAACAAACAAAAGAAGCCACAATAACTCAAAGTAATCTCCCTAACGAGCCACAGATCTGAAGAAAAAGTGAAGCTAAATAAATAGAATAGACAAATAAAGACTTGTGTCAAGGTGCTATCCAAGAAAACAAAGTTTCACCTGTTCAATGTAACAGTTGAGTGAGACAGCTCAGAGAGGAGGAACACTGGTGTTTTAGAAGATACACAGCTCCACTGATTTTTGAATGAGATTGAGGTGTGAGTGATCAGACTCGTGGCAGATCTGAAACACACAGGCTGTGTCAGAAAATCCCATACTAACACACTGCATGCTGCCTATACTCACTCAGTACGTACTTCATACTGTCTACTAAATGAATGATTACAGAGGATTTTACGGGCAGACTGCGCACACTGAAGGAACTTCACATCTTCGAAAACAATCGTAGCTAATTTTTCAAACAGGCGCTGTTTGGCTAAACTGACCACCTCTTAATCTAGACGGTTCATTTCTCGCATATTACCCTCATATTGTCAGCCAGTCTCAAGCATAGACTGTATATAAGAGGTAGCTGTATTCACCATGACATCACCCATTGGTTTGTGGACTGCGGTTTTGAAGCCGTCACCATCTTGGTTTTTTGCAACCAGAAGTGACAAAGTTGTAGCGCTAAGTACAGCCGAATGCAGAAGAAGACATTTTTAGGCGACCAAAATGTTACGATGAACTTTTAGGAACTGAAAACACGCTGCGAAAGCATTAAAGTTCTGAAATGAAAACACAAATAACTCCCAGACCGGACAACGCTGTGGTAGCGACCTGTCAATCACAAGGACTTGTGAAGGATTTTAAATGAACGTTTGAGATCATAAACTCATGTGAATGAGCAATCTTTACTGAGGTAATAAATCAAGTGACAAGTAGAGTCATTTTCTCATAGTCTTCGATACAATCTGACTTCTCTTTGCAACCAGATGAGTCTGATGGTCAGTAGAGAGAATGCAAGATTAAAGCACTTCTGCATTGGCTTCACTTTTCAGACCCAGAGGTGCCTGCCTGGTCTCGGGGCACCCAGATGCAATGCATTGTGGGGCAGCTGAGTATGTGCAGTAAGCTCACATCTCACACTTCGTTATTCTTGCTGATGTAGTATACATCTGGGCGTTTCTCGAGTACACAAAATCAACATCATATGAAGTGTGACCACACAACATACTCCAGTTTACTTCACACTGCAAACAATAGTATGCGATTTTGAACACATCCACGAGAGAGAGACAGCTCTCTCACAATATGAGACCAGAGGAAAAATCCATAGACGTAACAGAGTGTCAGATGACGAATGCGTTATCACCGTAGTGTATCATCTTGCAACAAAGGGCTCTGATATCTTCACGTGTATGCAGACAAACCAGGGATCAAAACAGAAAAGAAGAGACTACCTGGACCATTAGTGGAGGAAAAAAAACAGAAAAAACAAAACCACCACCATTATCCAGCTTCTCTCCAGGGTTGCCATGCTCCTGTCACTGTAATGAGATGAAAACAAACAGTAACTGTAGCCCAGTGTGTGTGTGTGTGTGTGTGTGAGAGAGAGAGAGAGCAGACATACTATATCCTTGTGTGTATGCGCAGTGCTGTGTTGTCTGGTATCAATGGCAGTCACTTAGAGAGTGTGAGTCAGTGTGTTTACTGTTTTCACAGATGGAGCTCTGACACTGTCTGGATAACTGAGATAAATGACTCGCACTCTGGCTCAGTAGATGGGAAAAATAACAGCCAGTTACACACACACACACACACACACACACACACACACACACACACACAGACACACACACAGACGTACTGTACGTTAGAAATTAAGCACTTCATCAACTGATGTTTTCAAGCTTCTATTCACAGCAGGGAAGGAAAGAGTAGCTGCTCATCAATGGGGAAACGCCAGCTGCTGATTGGCTCAGTGTGGCCTCTAATTCAAGCCAGTATAAGGAGAGCTCATATGTAATCAATTAACAGCTGCATTTGGTTTCAGGCGATTGAAAGCAAACTAGGGAGAGAAAAAGGTGAGCCAATGAGGTCCCCACATAAACTACAGTATGGTGCCATCAGAGAGATTTTGTGAAAAATGTGTCATCCATCGCGCCGTCTATAAATGACCACTAAAGGTTAATGTTGGCTAGTGGAGGCCACCGCAGCAGGTGTGTTACAATCTGCTGCTGCTGATCTGCAGTTCAACGTGTCCTCGTCCACTGAGTGTCCTTGATACTCCTGACAAATACTGCCCCCGTGTGGACAAAAACACTTGAGCCGCTCTGAAGGAAGCAGGGGTCGACTGTCGCACACAGAAGGAACCTGAACCAGACCTTCAACCTACATGCAGTGGAGGATGAAGTACTCGGATCTTTTGCTTGCGTAAAAGTAGTACTTACCGCTCAAAAATGATAAGCTCCAACTGCTTTCAGTGCTTACACTTCAATTGATATTGTCCTGACGTTTTTGCATCTGATCTGGCACTAACTTCCACTTCCAGGTCAATTCATCGCCCACCCCTTGGATTGACGTTTCATCTCCTTTCAGAACTTCACTCAACATTTACACCTAATTTAACTCATTCAGTTCTTACACTTAACCTTAACTTCTTTCCACACTTCAATTTCAACAGCAAGATGAAATGCAGCTTATTTCAGTTTTGTATTTTAACTGCCGCAACTGAAACTTTTATTAAAATGCAAATTTTCAGCAGCTAGCAAATACATTCTCTCCAGAAAAATGTTGCCTTTTTCCAATTACGCTTCATTTCATTCGTTCCTAAATGTGCTCGAAACTCTGGCAACGATGACCTGACGCTCCTGTCACATGCTCACTTCTCTAAACGTTCGGCTGGAGCAGCATGCTCATCACTTTTTTTCATGTCCAAACAGAACAATATTTATAAATAGGTCAAAGGACAGCACACACACCAGCACACACTCTTATCAAAACACATTTGAAATATAATTTATTGCACATTTAAAGATCAACATAAAGTGGCACGATACCCATTTCAATCCTGTTACATCAGAAACAAAAGACAAAAAGAAGTCCTTACAAAATGCTCACACCTTCTTATTTACAATCCTTGTTTTTGACTTTAGAACAAAATAACCATGAAGTTGCAGGAATGCCAGACCGAAACTGCATAGATTCATAAAAACATGTTTTAAAAAAAACAAAACACAGACACTTCTTTAATATGGCACAGAAAAGCCAATCAGACATTGGTGTTACTCATATTAGTCATGAGTCCATCCACTTCCACATTGTCTGTGACTCTCAGGCGGTTCAGTGCGTCAGAACAAAACAGGGGATTACCAATTCTTAAAGAGGAAAGCACTGATAAGATGTTCTCAGAAATATACATTTGTTATGCCCAATTTTAAGTTGTCTTGTGCATAAATAAGTCCAATATTAAAAAAGAAAACATTCCTTAAGCCCCATTTACAGTAGCATGTTATTTTTAAAACATTTCGGGAGTAGGCGTGCGTCACTGTAAAAACCTCAACGTGGAGGCACAGTTGAAGAAAAATTATACAAAAACAAATTACATGATCGTCACAGATACTATTTACATCTTTGACCTCATTGTTCATGTCATATCACAACCCCAAACTCCTTTTTAACGTCAGAATCGTCCACATCATTGATTAAATTAGCCGTCAAGATTCATAATCAGCGCATAACAATTTAATGGTTTCAGAGGGCACGGACCATCTCTTATTGCTGCATGGCTCATATTTTGATAACTGGTTTCATCATGTTTGTTGGCAACAAGCTATAACTTTATATCTACTAAGTCATAAACTAAACCACTGTGAAATGTGTGACACCCAACATAAATACCTGCCATCTGAAAGTGGCTTACATGATACAAAACCAACCCTACAGTATGAGAGCTACAGTATGTACAGAATGACAGTGAGAAGTGGCAGCAGTGGGTAAGATATATAGATATAAAAAAAAAAGAAAAAAAACTTGAATTATAGGTTGATGGCACAAATGTTCAGAAGTCCGTTTATGATCCCGTCACCTCATAGACCTGGAGTAAAGTAAACATACACATGTTGATGTACAGTACAGCATAAATACAAACCCAGCCAATGGTCAAGAGAAGAACGGCACAAAAGCATGCAAACTGGTTTTAAAATCAACTCTTATAGTGAAGTCATCAACACAGTTGTATTAGAGTTACCTGATCTAAGTGTTAGTTTCATTAGGGCCGCCTTGTTGCATATCGTTAAGGATACAAGAGCTGCGAAGTGAGTGAAAACCGTTTGAATCCTTGACAGGTTTACTCACTAGCATGACATTTACTGGGGAAATGATGCAGAGTTTCATTGTTAAATTTAAGTCAACAGAACTAGACTAACCCCCCCAAGTAGGCCCCTTGATGATAAAACATTATATACATGGATCGCAGTAAAGAAATGTGATTTGTTTGGCACACTTTTACACTCTGGGTCTTCCCATCTTGGGCTGAGTTGAATATTAAACATGATTGGTTGCCATATCAGCTTCTTAGTAGGTCACATAAATGTTTGATGAGAGTTACCCCATTTATGCCTCAGAGGAAATGAGCTTTAGACTATCAAAACTGCTCTTTAGTGCCAACGTTACAGTGATGAGTATTGTCAATGCAACTTTTCAGTTAAATCAAGGTAAAAAAAACAAACAAGCATTCAAACACTACCTGCATCAAAATCATTTTTAATTGTCAAGAGTGGATCCAGCTGGCCGCTATGGCCGTTCAGCGTGTGTCAGGCTATACAGCAAGAAAAGAGACATTTCAACTCAATTGACCTAACTTCCAGTGTTACAGAACCTGCCTGTTGAGTACATTTACCCTGGCACTACCAGGAACACTTTTTGCACTACCAGAAAAAGAGAAATCAGAGAAAAACTGTTTTTTGTCCGCCACTGAACAAAACCTTAAACCACAGTACGCATATTATCCAAGTAAACATAAATAAAGATGCAACGTAGAGTTCCAGAGCTGAGTTATTTGGAGACACTTTGAAGAAGCAGCACTTGAGAGAACTGGAGGGAGATACTGAAAGTCAGAAATAGAGAAAGAGGAGGGAGGCTGAGGGGAGATAAAAGGACGTTAAGGGAGACAGACTTTCCTTTGGCACCTGAGCCACAGTGGCAGTGCTCTTCTGTGGGCGGAAAAATGTACCAGGCGAGGGTAAAGACACACAACAGAAGAGGGGAAAGAGGGAGGTTTTGCTAAACAGCTGATGCTCGAAATATCCTCCCTTGACCTTCTCTCTTCGGCAAAAGGTTTATTCTTTTCCCCCTCGCTCCGTCTGTAGATCCTGATTTGGCTCCTCCCACATCAGTCGCACCTCTCAAAAACACATAAAATCAGAGCCAGAGTCCATCCACTAGGAGTTCTCCTTCAGAGCCTTTGAACCTCACTTCAGCAGGAAAACCTTCAGTAAACAGTGAGTGCTTGCAGAAAGGAGGTTCTTCGGGTTCTTCTGTAACAGGTTCTTTATGGCACATGATGGGACTTCTGCAGGTTTCTATCTCGTTTTTTGCTTCCGCAGAAGAATCTCAAGTTTCTCCCAGTTGAGTTTCACAGGCGCTCCTCTGAGGTCGGTTAGTGCAGGCCGTTCTGTGTTGATGTTCTCACCCCGGGTTCGGTTCAGCGTGTGGTTCTATAGGTTCTCCCCAGGCTGATACTGGGGTTCTGTGGAGGTGAAGTAGTCCTCTAGGAAGCCCTGCAGGTACTCAAACGTAGGCCTCTCTTCTGGGTCCTTCCTCCAGCAGGAGAGCATGAGCTCGTGCAAAGAGCTGGGGCACTCTGCTGGGCAGGGCATCCTGTAGCCGCGCTCCACCTGGTCCAGCACCTCGCGGTTCACCATACCTGTTGAGAGAAACAGGAAGTTAGAAGGAAGGAAGGGAACAGACAGACTTTCTTGCTCAAAAAAAAATTCTTCCAAAAAAGTAAATTTGACGAATGACATTATAAAAATTTGGAAAACACCAACATCGAAAATCCTATATTTATCGATGAAATTCCGAAAACATTAAATCATTTTGTAGTTTTACCGTTTTTAGGGCTACAACTAATGATTATCATCAGAATAAATTAATCTGATGAATATTCTTGTTTCTTCTTTAAAATGTTTCTGTAAAAAATGTCCATCACAATATCGCAGAGGAAAAGATGACATCCTCACATAGCTAGTTTTGCTTAAAAAATTACAAACAATTGTTCAACTATCAAAAACAGTTGCTGATTATATTTCGGTTGATTGATAAACCAATGAATTGATTGTTTCAGCTCATCTTGTTAAAGAAGCGCTTGTTTGGACGGAGAATTGTTCAGGTACTGATTCGTTACGAGTCGTTACCTGGATAGGGGACTCTGCCTTTAGTTGCCAGCTCTGTGAGCAGCACACCGAAGGACCAGACGTCTGACTTGATGGTGAAACGGCCGTACAGAGCTGCCTCCGGTGCCGTCCATTTGATTGGGAACTTAGCTCCTGAGCAACCATGGGGAATAAAAGAACAGTTTCGTAAGGGTGAAATTTAAAAGTACCATGTTGTAGAATAAAATACATTAGATTTTAGAAGTCATTCCCAATTCTTTAAACAAATCTGTACTTCTCTCTGTAGCTTGATAGAAATGAAAGAATAATAATATGTTGTGGAAAGAGTGGACTCACCCTGTCTCGCAGTGTACTCGTTGTCTTCAATGAGTCTTGCCAGACCAAAGTCAGCAACTTTGCACACCAGGTTGTCTCCCACCAGGATGTTGGCAGCGCGCAGGTCTCTGTGGACGTAGTTCATCCTCTCCACGTAGGCCATGCCTGCTGCAATCTGGAGGAAGTGACGCAGAGAGGACAGGGATTTTATTAGAAATACAAATATCGTGTTGTTGTTTTTTTGTGTGGCTGAACCAAAACTTATTTTTACCTGAGCAGCCATGTCTACTAGCTGAGGAAGACGAAGCATCTTTCCTGCTTCTCCTTTAAGGAAGTCCAGTAAGCTGCCTGCGAGTGCAAGATAAAAAGATGAACACTTGTAATGACAGCTAAGCTCCAAATAATCAACTAGTCGTTCATTATATGTGTAAATCCTTAAAACACAAGCCATCATCTAGATGCGTTTGTAAGCAGTAATATATGTAATGTTAGAATTGGATTTCAGTTTTTTATTTAATTTAGAGAAATATAAACCAGCCTTCAGCAGCATTTTAGTTTCAGTACCAGAAACGGTTTGATCCATCACTTGTTACAGTCGGTATCCTGTATTACCTTGGCTCATGTATTCTGTTACAATGTAGATGGGTTCCTCAGACACAACAGCGTACAGCTGGACCAGCTTCTCGTGCCTGAGCTTCTTCATGACCTGAGCTTCCTGAAGAAAGGCCTCTGGAGACATGGTGCCGGGCTTTAGGGTCTTAATGGCTACTCGTGTTGTACCGTTCCATGTGCCTGTTAATATAAAAAACATAATTCTATGACTTCTTTGATAAAGCGCTAGACTTAAGGAATAGTTTGACATTTTGGGAAATACACTTGTCCTCTTTCTTGCAGAGGGTTAGATGAGAAGATCAGGGCCACTCTTTATACAATTAGCAGCCTGTTAGCTTAGCTTAGCACAAATACTGTAGAGCTCACTAATTAACATGTTAAATCTCATTTGTTTACTCTGTACAAAAACTAACACTTAGCCGAGCACATGACCTGCCATTAAACGACAGTGATCTCAGAGGTGCTGGAAGGGGAAATTTGTTACAGTTGGACAGAGCCAGGCCAGCTGTTTCTCCACTGTTTCCAGTATTTATGCTAAGCTAAATAACGACTAAATGTAGCCTTAAATTTAACAGACAGATATCATAGCAATCTTTTCACCGAGCTCTCTGCCAGAAAGCAAAAAATATGCCTCTCAAAAATGTCAAAACATTCCTTCGATGAGAAAATAATTATCTATGACAACTTTTACCAGGATTCACATCATCATCGCACGTAATGAGCAATTGATCCTCCTATTTTGCAAATCCAATGCATAACCTGTGTATATGCCATGGTGTGAGAGGAATTCAATCATTTCCACTAAAAAGGAGTGGTGCGTCGTCCTTACCCATCCAGACCTCTCCGAAGCAGCCCTGTCCCAGTTTAAGGTCGAGGCGGAGGGACTCTCGGGGGATCTCCCAGGCGTCCCTGGCCAGTCCCTGGGTCTGAGGTTTGGCCACAGGACACACGTCCGATAGAGCGTGGCACAGCCCATCAGAGTGCTCTGGACGAGGGGCGAGAAGGGAGAGTGAGCGGGCAGTTCATGGGCAAGCAGTGTTGTAAAAGGTTTACCATCAGAGAGCAGATGTGAGGACTCACTGCGGTAGTGGAAGACTAGCTGCTGTAGGCTGCTGAACTGGGTGCGGGAGGTGATGTAGAAACCTCCGCTATCCAGCTTCCTGATCTTGTAATGTTTAACATTCAGGCCTTTGGTGTTGTCATAATCCAGCACTGACAGGCAATATGCCCCTGTGAACAAGACCAAACGACAGACAGAGACAGGTTAGAACAATAAAACTAGGCGCGCGTGTGTCCCTGTGTGACAGCTGCTCAGTGGAGTTTCCTAGCAGCTGTGCTGGGCAAGTCCCTGATGGCCCCTTCAAGGGCCCCAGAAATCCAACTAAGCCTTTCTGTCCCTGCCCTGGACCCACTGGGAAGTAAGGTTTGATCTTTCAGAGTGAAATAGTGATAATTATGGACTTGTTTTGAACAGCGGCTTTTCAGCAAACGACTTATTAAGAGTCAAAAATAATGATAGGAATAAAATAAAAAACAAGACCTTACAAGTGTGACAGGAATCAAACTTGTAAAAAAACATGCTTTAAGAAGTGAACAGACAAATCTAACCTCCTTGACAGGGAGATTAAAAATGAAAAATCAATTCTCTTTGATCTGGTGTTCACTCTTGTGCAGTAAAGACACACTTGCACAACAACTGAACTGGCAGTATATTGATCCAAATTGCCTGATCGACACAATATTATTCCAGCAGTTTAACCAGATCTTAACGCCTGCGCTATCGACCTAAAACTAGACAGACATTAATGGCTGTACCAAAGATACAGAACTAAATTATTTCCTGTGGTTATCTAAATTTGTGCAGAATATAAGGCCTCCACACAACAACTACAACATCTAGCTCATTTTATACAAATATCTGCACTCATAAAGGTGATATCCGGGGCACAAACATGGCTAACAAAAGCTGAGATGATGGTTTCCAACTCCCGTGTTTTCTAGCCTGAGCATGATGAGATGCATCACGACCAGTCGGACATGATTTACGTTTTATTCATAAGAGCGCTATGCTTCTGCTCGTCGGTGTCGCGCTATGAGTCTCACATGTGACATCTAATACAGAACACACCCAGAGGCCTACACACCTCCTGCCAGAGCTCCTCCTACTCTCCCCGATCCTCCCCCTTTCCCTCAAGTCTCCCCTCTCTTCATGCCTCTCCTGCCCTCACTCAGTGTGTGCATGTTGGGAGAACAGAGACATAGCCAGGAGGAACTCCAGCACCCTCCTAGGTTGACCTAGTTCTGGCAAAGTGACTCGCCCCTATCCATTCACAAGGCCCACTCCAATACACTCCAGTGTGCTCTGTTCCTCCTCCCCACCTCCCTTCCCCCCTCCAAAACAACTCCCTGAAGACCCCACTGACATCACAAGGACTACATCCGACTGCAGAGTTTCAGAGAAAGACGCAAAACTCCAGAGAACAAAGATACAGCGCCATAGGCCCGCGTGACAGGTAACAAATGGCTTCATTACGAGGTTCTGTCTCTTTTAAATTGAGTCCCTAAAGATCTACTTTTTTCAAAGTGAGATCTCATCTGCTACGTGGAGTGGACTCCAGGGACAGATAAAGTGCCATCACGTCCCCCACATTTTAGAAATTAGGAAAGGTCAGGTTTTATGAAACATGTTTTATCAATCAGATTTTTCTCTGCACTTTCCTGTCTGTTGTTAGATTACAATCTCTGAAAATGTATGTTTTCATTTGAGAATTTTTGATTAACTCATCGATTAATCCTGTCAGCTGTATGGTTAAGAACATGCATTTTTACAATAACAACGTCATGGTGAAGTTGAATTGATCTACGTTGCTTTAGAGATTTTACACATCATCATAAGCGCTAATTTGACTATCTTGATAATGACTGTAGCCTCCGGAGTGTCTGCTCTCTCACCTTTGGTGGTCTCGCTCTCCCTCACCAAGAAGGTTCCTCGTCGGTTCTGTAAGTTCAAAAGGAGCCTCTCGGAGTCGCGCCGAGTGATCTTCCCAAAATACCACCTGCCAAAGTGGGCCACGGAGAATAAGATGAGAGAGAAACTACTACTGAGCGTCTGGAGCAGGCAGGCAGAAATATGTTTTGACTGGAAATACAGAGGACCGTAGTGGATGATATATTGGAAATATTCTCTCAATACGCTTTGTATTAGCTTGTAGATATAGCAGAGAATAAAGCCACATCCAGGCTTTGAACTGCAAGAGTGAAACAAGGAGAGGATAATTTACTCTTCTGCTTGGATGGAGTCGGACGGAGCCACATAGTTGCTGGGGATATAACCACTCTCTCCTGTCGTCAGGGAGCGCGCAAGCCACCAGTCCCCTTCTCTGTGACACAAAGAGAGAGAGAGAGAGAGAGAGAGAGAGAGAGAGAGAGAGAGAGAGAGAGAGAGAGAGAGTCAACAATATACAGAAAACCGACAACCACAACACTTCTTGGTTTATTGATCTTTTAGTTTATTCCCAATCAAGGGACACAATATTTGATGGAGAACCTGTCTGTGGCTCTCAGCCCATTGGTTCCTACTGAGGACGTGTCATATACGTACATAGTTTGTTAAAAAAACTAAACTAAATGAACTCCTATAACAGCTCGACACTGTTGTTTTTAGCAAATAGAAGCACATTTCACAGTTGTTAGGGACTATTTTAAGATATGGATGAATATATTCTGAATGCTGGAACGTATTTATGGCCCAAGGAAGGTGTATGTGGGATTGACTCAAAATAAGTTACAGTGCCCACGTTCGTCATAATAAAGGAACAGAGAGATAGATAGATAGATAGATAGATAGATACACACACCAGTGCAACAGACGTATGTGTGTGTATAGTTTTTGGAGAACAATGAGGTCTATGGCACAGAATAATAAGATAAATCAGGCTTTTTTTTAGTTGGATAACTTATGTTGTGGTCATTTCATGGGATGTGTTGCTACCTAGAAAAATATGGATCACCACCAGAACATTAAATATTACAGTATTTGCAGCACAGGATGCTTCAGAATGTGTCCTCAGATTATGCCTTAGTAAGAAAGTCTACTTCTGAAACTTCCACATTGTTTGACTGACAACCCATGATGTTATTTACGAAGCACAGAAAAAACCTTTGATTCAAAAGATTGAGTTTAAAATAAAATAACACATCTCACCCCACACTTAAGTGCAAAAAGATTGTTAAGAGAGGAAATAGACAAATGCAACCTTTTGTTCAACTTGCAGTCCCTCGGTTTACATTTTAAAACCTTTAACCGTTGCTCTATATAGAGAGACGAACAATATGTTACCCACCAACCAAGTTAGAGCACCAGCCCTCTGCAGCACATCTCTAATATTTACTAATTCATTGCAGTTACGCTACGAGCTTGATCAGACAAATCCGCGCAGCAGCGAAGGGACAGTGAACAAAAGGTTTGCGTGAGATTTTCTTTTTTTTTTATTGCATTAAGTATTACTGACCTGAAGCTGTACTTTTTCCTAAGAGGAATCATGAAGCATGAGAGAGAAAGAGAGAGGGAGAGATAACAGACACAGCAGACACATCAAAAACCCAGCAAGGCAAGCAGCTCGGCACAGACGGATAGCAGAGGAGCCGGCTATGCTGCAGGACTACACAGTGGGGTCACACGAGCTGCAGGGTTTCTAAAAGTGTAAAAGTTCCACTTTCCAATTTGTAACAGTTTTAATAGTTCTAGAAGAGAGGAATGACGAAATATCTCCCCATTTATTATCCATAAATGATCACCTCCAGATAGCATGTGGGATTCACTTCGTAGTCTCACTACTTCATATTCAGTATTTGCATTAAAACAGTTTATAAAAACTCCCATGCACCAAATACTTTTTTTTGTAAACCAGATATTCAAACTGTAGTATTAATGTCAAGTATGAATTAATTCTACTTTTGAGCCCAACTATGTAGTGCCAGACTATAGCTAAAGAACAGCAGAGCAGACTTATGACAGGAAATTATGGAAAGAGTTCAGCGGAAGAGAAAACAAAAAAAAAACAACAACATTGTTCTGATTTTAAACACCTGTGTAGGAGTTTTGCTCCAGTTCCTACACATCAATTCTCACTTCCTGCGACTGAAATAACACTAAATCACACCACAACGCAGACAAACTTCAACATGCGCCGATGTCCAACAGGAAAACACATTATTTAGGTGTTAGGAAAGATACTCGAGTGCAGGGACCTTTCCATGACAGGCTCTCTACAGAGTGTCTTTAAGATGAGGATGACGAGAAGTAGTCGAAGGGGAACAGGATGCGTTAGTAAAGTTCTGTTCAGTCAACAGATGGAGAGGATCAGACTCGGCTGTCTGGATCGCTCTGCAGTCACCAGCTCTGACTTCGTTCATTCATTTACACATTTACACGAGAAAGAGAGAGGCTGTTGATTCTTACGTGTTGTTGACAATCTGCAGCCTGTCCCCTTTCCTAAAGGTCAGATCAGACGCTGTCCGTGACTCATAGTCATACAGCGCCACAAATGTGGTGATACCTCCTGCAAGAAAGTACACACACAGAAATACGCATTTAGGGAAGAATGTAATTAAAGACAGAGAGGTACTTCCCGCTAAGAACTATTCCCATTCCTTTCCATGATCTACCTTCAATAATACAGATCTTGCTCTATCCACTGTAAAGCTGGTATATGTTGCCTCTGCTCTGCAGCTGTACAAAACAATTTACCGAGGCTTAATGAGAAATATCGACATTCAGATTGCTTGTGGCCAATCGTCCGTGAAGGACGCCATCATACCGATGGCGCTCCATGTTCGGTGGAGCTTTCTACCCCTTCCTTTTGATAAACCTGTGATCTAAACCCGAGAACTCTCCAGCCAATCATTAGATGCACAGGAGGAGCAGGCGGCGGCCAGCAGATACACCAGCAGCCCTCCTCTCTCTGGACGGAGCAACATTAACCGAACCATCTGGCCGGTCTAGACACATTGCAGCTTAACGTCACGTAAAATCTGGACAGTTTGGTGCGACGGGCTTCAAAGTCAAAGAGAAGGTGTGAAGTCTCTGTTTGGCAGCTTATGGTGGGAATAGGAACATTTTTTCACATGTGACATATGACTCACTGTGAATCATTTTTTAAAGATATTTTTCTCAGGACTTTTGTGATCTCAAACTGAAAGCAAGTCAGGACTGACTGGGCTGACTCATAGATAAATCAGCTCTCATCACATCGTATTCAATCAGCTTCCATTCACAACTTCATTCACACAAAAACAAAAAAAACATCTCTCTTCTGTGCATTCTCCAGTCATTGTGCATGCAGCATTACTTTTACCATTACTTGGAAATGCATTTATTTGCTTTCTTGCGAGGAGTTAGATGAGAAGATCGATACCACTCTCATATCTGTCTGTTCAATATGAAGCTGGAACCAGGAAAAAGCAAAAAGACTGGAAACAACTGTATACTGCAAACCAGCTTTTTCTTTTTTACTGCTTTGCAACCACTGTTGACAAAATGACAATTAGTTTCAAGAATTCAAAATGTAACTCTCATTTAGTCGTGATTGTAGGTGAAGTAAACGTTGTCCTATAATATTTTGCAACACTTGCACAGCTCACCCCCCGTCTCAAAACGTTACCTACCTCTATGAGGCGAGGTGATGGTGCCCGTGTGGTCCACCCCTCCAAACAGCGCCAGCTCAGGAGTGTTTGTCGGGGCGAGCTGGTGCTGCCCTTGGTGCCCACGCCTGCCTGTGCCGACGGCAGGGCTCCTGTTGGGTGTTTGAGTCTGCTGGGCGGGTCCCAGGTGGCGGAAGTGGCCGCTGTCGGAGCCTGTGCCGATGGTGCCGTCCAGGCTCATGGAGCGCTGGCCCGGCTCCTTGGGCTTGCTCTTGCCCGCCCCCATATGCAGACCTGGGAAGAGAGCCAATGATGAGTAAGTATGCAGCGCTTTAGGAATAATAAAAAAAAAAAAAAAATGTTCTTGTTGTATGTCAAACAGCTCACACAAGATTAATCAATTAGTCGATCCACAGAAAAATAATTTCATTGATTAAAAAAACGGAATCAATTGTCAGGGAATAACATCAGTCTCCTGTTTCAGCTTCTCCATTGTGAGGATTTGCTGCTTTTCTCGATTTCACAATCACTGTAAACAAAATATGTTTGGGTTTTGGACTGTTGGTCGGACAAAACTTTCTGGCATTTTACAGACTAAACATTTCATTGATTAAACATAAAAGCAGCCCTGGTCCCAAATAGACGTTTCAAAAAGGTATTTCTGTAAATATTTCTATCACAATTTCTCCAATTCAAAAAGGGTCAAACTTGATAGCGTTGCATTTTATATTTCTTCACATAAAATGTGGTTCTCTGCTATCATATACTCAGGTGTACTATCATCCTGGCAGCAGTAGCATGACTCAGAGGAGGGCATATGGATGTCACTTTACTTTTAAACTTTGTTAATATTTGAATCAAGACATACATCCTTTTCCATGAGGAAACATGCCATTACAGTGAAATATATAAGAAAATAAGCTGTTCGTTTACATACACATCTAAAGACTGTCCTGACATAAGATACAAGCCGTTGAGTGAAAAGAAACAAACATTCTGCTGCCGTTCAAACCTTTCTCAAACAAAACAAATCGTCGCTGCAGTGTGTGTGCTGCGAGTGTCATCCCTGCTCACCACAGAGTATCCTTGGAGCTGTTCCAGGTTCAGTTAGAACCGTTCAGCATGCAAATACTCGGAGAACAGGACACCTTCAAAGAAGCCGACGCACAGACATTCAAGGTCATCCCTATCTGTTGATTCAATCTGTTCTGAATCAATAAGCATCTATAAGGAAAACAAACAAAGGAGCAGTGGGCTGTAATGAAACGGAGCGAGAACACTGGTGAGTTGACAAGGACAGAAACCGTTTCACCTCCTACAGGTAATTATAACGCTGCTTTCCCTTTTCCACCCTGATGCAGAACACATCTACTGTGGGCCTGATAAAAGCAACAAGAGCGCGCCGCCATCATCATCGAGTCCTGACAAAGACAAACATGCTCAGACAGTCAAGTGCACCCACAGAAAGTTGTAGTGCCGTGTTCAAACACCAAGTCCGCCCCTCGAGGCATCGCAGAGTGATTCACTGTGAGACCGGCTATTTCAGGCCAGCTGAAACAGAGACAGTCATACACACATGAAACAACCTTGTTCCTTTGTGAATAGAGGCACTCTCGGATCCGCACTGAGTCTATGCTCCTTATATGCGTGTGTGTGTGTGTGTGTGTGTGCGTGAGCAGCTGTTCCTTGGTTCCTCTGGGAAGCGAGGCTCTATCGCCGCGGTTGCGTCTCACATCCTTTTTCCATCACACTCATGTATCCGTGTGAGTGTCTCCAGCACAGAGTCTGGATAGACAGGACAGAGAGGGTTATTAACAGACAAGGAGGAAGGAACCGGCAGTGGCCGTAAAAAGAACATGTAGGTGGTTGTTGTATACTGCATGGACAGCTGAGGCTTAGTGGGTGTTTTAAGTGTAACGTGTGAGCATAGCATAATTACACAGGTACGGGAAATCTCAAAGATATGGAAGGACCTCGCTGTGGAGATGTGTGGGTGCGTTTAAGCCGAGTGTGTGCACGAGCGGGAGCGACTTCGAGAGCGCACACGTACGGTCATGCAAGCTTTGATTCAACTCCTGCCAGGATGTAATCTGGCGCACTGGGGGGGTTAACGTATCCCACGGTGCAACACTGAGTCCCACACAGAGACGGGCCTATAGGAGGCCTGCAGGAGGACAAGACTGTGTGAATGTTTGCGAACAATAAACCGCTCGATTTAGCTAACTGCTCTGGATATCAATTAAGGACTTTGTGGCCTAAAACATCTACCGGCTCACTGAGGATCAGAAACAAGCAAAAGTTTAAAAAGAATAAAACAAAAGCAGAACGGGTCGACAGGACGCGACTGATCAAAGTGTTAGATTTTAAAGAAGAATGAAGGCTCTTATAATTTCACAGTCCATGAAGTCAATTATGTCGTCAAGTATCACTCGGAACTGGCAAGACAAAAGGAACAGTGGGGAGAGAGAAGGCAAGTGGAAATGGTTAAACAAAAACAAACGATTGGTTGACGCATGCTGAGAAAAGTTGAATCCAGCTCAAGTTCTTCGCTTCAGACTGACTGCCGTCATCAAAAGGTCCAAAGCTTGAGCACCTGAACTACATAGAAGCACAATGCTCTAGGAGTGGATTAATAGGCAAAGATGATACAGCAAAACATCAGAACTAACAGGAGAGTTTCGTTCGTAACTTCTTCCAGATGGGTCATTATGCAAGTTGATGTGACGTTTTCTGGTTGTGTAAAAATAGTGTGAAGCTACTGTTGATCTGATACAAGGAGGTCAGAGCGAGCGAAGAGAATGACACTCAGTGAGCCGACGGGGGATTCAATATCTAAAATGTCTCTAAAGGGATGGAAGTTCTACGAAGTTAAAGTATGCATATAGGCACACCTACTCTGTAAGATTTGACATTCGATTAGGAAAACTGACTGATCATTGAGATTAAGTACACACCGATGAAGTGAGGTAATGATCCTCACCAGCGCTGCACACGTATCCCAGTGCAGAGCTGTAGCTGAGCCTTTTCCTAACAGTCAGAGTGCCCTAAATATCAAAAAGGTGCCAACATGTGACTACTTCCATTATGATTTAAAACGGAGGTTGGAAGATGAGAGATAACAAATATATTTTGCAAAAGTACCACCAGGTAGAAAACATGATATGAAGAGGAGAAATAAAAGAAAACACGGAAAAGATTATGAGGAATTGGAAATGAGGAGAGATTTCCGTTCGTTGTGAGCTTTTCCATTCAACAGGAGCACAGGGGAATGTGGGAGAACCACATTGCACCAGTGCTACCACCAGGCACCTGAGCAATGGGAGGGCTGGATGGGAGGAAGGAAGCAAGGAGGGAGATGAGGAGTGCGAGTGTGGGGGGGGGGGGGGGGGGCTTATCTTTCCAGGACACAAATTGGAAATCTTATTCCAACAGAAACCCTTGTTGCCTGGCACCTGGCTTTACCGGATCACGATAATTATAATGAATCACTTTTCTTAATTTTAAAAACGTTACTCCTTTTTTGACTATTGGTGCGAACCTGTGCTCGATAAAAGTGTACGTTTTCTTCTTCTTTTAATTAAAAGGAGTACAAGCTGCATTTCTGGTATGAATGTGCTGTAGTTACGCCAACACGTGGTTTAATAATGTCAGACAAGAGACCATAAACGCATCGACACGCCGACCGTGTGAATGAAGTTGTGCCCGGTTGTGTTGCAGGAACGGAGATTTGAAGGATTAGATGTCAATCGCGGTAAATAGAGGCTTGGTTCAAAGGCGGCCCTCTGAGGGGTATTCACCTCAGAACAAGGAGTTCAAACGCACTTTCATTTCAGCAGTACATTTATCACCATTCTGTGTCTCTCTCACAGTCTCAGTGTTGACCGAGTCCCACAAAATCCATAAAAATAATAAAAGAAACTGTCTCTGTACATGGGCTGAATAATGTATGGAAAGGGGAGAGAGCTTCGATGCCTACAAGGTACACAAGTCAATAAAGCAGGCGAGTCCAGTAAGTCAGTGTACAGAAACTGCATCACATTAGGGTTGACACAGACAGCATGTCCATTATGAAAACACACCCGTAAATCCACACTGTCATTTCAAATCCGACTCTTTGATCCAACAGGATGGGTTCACATGTCTGCTTTCCTTACTGGTCGCTATGTTAGTGACGGAGGTCAAAAATACTCAAATATTGGATGAATCGCTATGAAAAGTTGACATTGACATTCATGGCTCACAGGCAATGAATCCTAGTGACCGAAATATCTCGACAACCAACTAGTGGATGGATTGTCTTAAAATTTGGTAGAGGCGTTCATGTTCCCCGCAGGATAAATTGTAATAACTTTGGCGATCCCCTGACTTTTCATCCAGCGCCATCATCAATACATCATCGATACTTTTGGTTTATGACCAAATATTGCAAAACTGATACCATCATCAGCTGTACTTTGTTTACTGCTGCGCTAACTGTCAAATATTTGCAGGCTAATACGCTAAACTACGATGGTGAGCATGATAAACATTGTACCTGCACCACATCAGCGTGCTCGCACAGCTGCTGTGAGACTGAGTCCCTCTCTTCCATACTGTCCCTCCACCAGAGCTTAACAAGGAAGCTTTGAACAATGAAGGAATATTGTAGTAAAATGACTAACTTTGGATACACACTTAGATTAGACTAACTCAGACTGCCGAGGCCTCATGTTGGCTTGAAATAAATTCAAGAAAGACTGTGGATTTAGTCTCTTACATTGGATTTGTGCCAGGAAGGACTCTCTTCACAGCCAGTCCGGACAGGAGTGACCAAAGGTTAATGTTAGCCTGCGAGGGTTGTATTAAGACAGAACAAATATGAAACCCTCTCCAATCCTCGTCCTCCATGACACAATGCCTTTACTTCAGGCCTTCCAATCATCTGTTGAATTATTTGCACATTGTACTCTTGCGGAAAAAACTTGCAGCTTCTAACGTCATCGTATAATTAATTTGTTCCTGAGGACAATGTTTCAAGGTGATGCGTTTAAGAACAACCTAGATTTGATTTTGCACAGGTTCTAAGTGCCCAAAGAGTTTAACTCTTTCTCCCGTTTCCTCGGTCTAACCAGCGTTCGTAATCCTCCATCTGAAGCCGAGCACACAAGCTGCACGTTTCTGGTCAGGCACATGAGCACATTTGGCCATGACAAACCTCACTGAGTCACAACAGACGGTTAACAGTTGCCACTGTGCTGCAGAGAGTGAAGGAGCTCGAGCCAATGTTTCAGTCGAATGGGAAAATTACAGTTTGCCCTGGGGAGGGGGAAGAGGAGGAGGAAGAGGAGGAGGGGGGCAATGATGGTTCCTCAAGATCAAAACAAGCGGAAATGTGCATATTAGCGTTAATATCTTGTCCTGCTATATGCTGGACACACAGTTCAGTCCACATACATAATACACAGATTAGCTATATACAGCCTGAGGTAGAGAGCGGGCAGTTGTGGTAAGAGGGCGGAAAAAATAAAGCCAATGAAGTCACATAACTATCAAGCCTCGTCCCATTTCAGTACCAGGGCTGCCTCCATCAGATATTCTCCGTAATCTTTTCCCAAAAATCTTTTGCTGACCCCCACTCCCTTTGCGAAGCCTGAGCCCACATCTAGCTGTCCCATCCCATCTCCGCTCTTCCTCAGTGACAAACACACAGAGGAGAGGAGAAAAGAAGAAGAGGAAAAAGAGGGGAGGGGAATACACTCAGCTGATAAAAAACAACAACAACAATCACTTCCGTTTTCTGTCCTTCTTCAACTGACTCTGGCTGCTAGTGATCCAGGCTGTGAGGAAGAGCTACAGCATGGCCGGCTATATAGAGGAGGGCAAAGGGTGCAAAGAGGACACGAAGGCTGTTTCATTACAGAGGTGCCACACTGTTAGCGGGTCATTAACTCTACAAATACATAACTTTCATTTATCTCAAATTAATGTACGGACAGACTTTTTTTGTGATTTACAGGATGTTAAAATAAACTCAGGGTAATACTTGTTCTCCCACTACAAAATGTATATATATTCTGTTCATGTGTTGTCAAAGCTGCAACATTTAGGCGGTTGATTAATTAGTCTTAGTTGAACAGACAGACAAATAATCAGCATTAAGCAAAAACAGCAAAGAATTCAGCTCCTCACATGAGAACATTCTATAGTTTCCTTTGTCTTTTGTGACAGACATCAAATTTGTTTTGTTTTTTTCAATTGTTGACCGCACAAAACAAGACATTATGGAGATTAAACCTCGGGATTTGGGAACATTTTTCAATAGATGGAAATTTAAAGCACTTAGTTGATTAATAAATAATGTAAATACTCTTCAGTCACAGCTCAACAAGTCAAGACCAACGTCAACGTATTGCTGCCCTGTGAGAGGGAATATTGTGTATTTTGACACATTGCACGCTCTATTATCTTAGAAAACATTTTTGAGAGAAAGTCATTCAACAATCCAATCAGGTGTTATTTCTCAAGCCATGCCAGCCTCGTGTCTATGAGATGAGGATAGCACATTATAGCATCTCCTAAACGTGCCCAGTGTCAAAATCGCACGTTGAGCTTTCTGATGATTCATGTGCTTCATTTTTTTTGTTTAACAAACCTTATGGAAATTAGCTGGAACTCGCCCCCCCCCAAAAAAAAGACTGTAAATAGATTAGCCACGTAATTAAAATTCTATTTCCACGGGATCAAACACCAGTTGTCGGCAAAAGCTGCTTTCAGATAAACAAGGGGTGGGGTAGTAGCTGCATACAGGAGTAGCAGCTGTCAAAATGATAACGTCTTTGCAATGGGAGAGAATTTTAAAAAAAAATAATATAAAAAATAAAAAGACGTGAACAACCCGCGTTTGCCAAAAGTGATCCACATTAGACGCGTAAACAGGGGATTTGTGAATGAGAACCGGGATAGAAGGCGACAACGCTGGCTGCTGTGGTCGGCTCCAGCTCACGCATATGCGGCCTGATGAATCAAAACAGGTGCTGTTACAGCTCCATTTTGGATTTCGATGGATTGTTGACTCTTGTTTCTCTGTACGCAGACGATGTACTGTGTATTCTGTGGACGCGTGTTGGTCATGAGAAAGTCAGACATATGACATAAATTTACACACACGGTGCGGATTTTGTCGGGGGGGGGGTAATCATCAACAACGGAGCCCCTGGCACACACTGAGTGGCACTGACCAAATGTGCGAGCAGCACTGACTGAATGGCCTGTAAAACAATGAAATACGAGTCAGTGTGAGAGAGAGGGTATCAGACGCTGTGCGTAAAACATCAATATGGGAACATGGCAACAAACAAAAACCCATGGATGTATTTCCGACACAAATGTCTTTTTTCTCGCATTAAAACACCACAAGCTCTAATTAATTAACTCACCTTAGACGCGTCTGAAGATTCAGACCACCCCCCCCCCCCCCGACCACCACCAAAAAATAAAAAAAATCAAAGACGCGCAGCGAGGCACTGTGTTAAATCCCGATGGCTGTCCTCATTAGAGGAATAATGGAAGCGGATGGCCAGTTGCTGTGGAAACCTCGAGCCGGCCACGAATCCCATTTAGTGAATATCGGCAGTAAAGGGGGGGTCATGACGGGGGCTGCCTTCGGGAGCAGAGGGCACAGCTGCCCGGGCGGCGCTGCGGTGGAGCCGGACAAACACCGCGGCTCACTACGGTGAAGCAGCCTGCTTCTTATCCGGGAAGAGTCGACGGCGCGGTCAATTCATGCGAGGAAGCAGGAGTGGTGTGGGGAAGACATGCCTCGTATGGGGGGTGGTGGTAGTGGGGGGGAGGCACGGGATAGTGCATCAACCACGAAACACGAGAGCGCAAATATGATGAGTCTGGATTTTACGCTTTGTACGCAGCAACGGCGGAGTCAGGAAGATTCACGTCGTGCTGCGTAACTCGACGCCCCGACAGTTAAACTCACCGAGGCGTTGACAGGCACGACAACAGCCCCCGTGTAGCTTTTCTAAAAAATATGTTATGTCACGATTGAGAAGCTTTTTTTTCTGTGTGTGTGAAAAGTTGTTACAATAACATGACACAAATACTATATAATAAATACTTCAATCTCACGTATCATCCAATACCAAACTGGCTTCATTGCTGGCCAGCAGCACCGGTTGCTTAGCGACACAACTTTGGGCCGGCGCATTGATATTACAACTTAACCCTTATGCGGCCTAACAGGTGCTCTGTAATTAAAGATGTTCCACATTTTTAAGGTTAGTTAATCATTATTTTTGATGCCCATACCTCTATTTGAGAATTTAAAAATACCCAATAAGTATGCCTTTATATTGGCCTATGACACGTTTTAACATACACAATCATTTCCAATAAGAATTCCTTAAATCTGATTATTAAATTAAACCATGCCCTATTTATTTGGCTTGATCCTCCCTTGTTACAGAACTTTTTATTTTAGATGGTGTAGAATGTAGAATTTTTTATTTATTTTTTAAAGTTAAATATACCTTACCTGCTGAGAAAACAAGTGCCAAGGAAGTCCTGATGTATTCTGTCATACTAAACAAGTGAATATACACAGGACATGATCTCAATCTGACAAATGACCTCATCATGTGTTTATTTGAAAGTTGAAATCCAAACATAATTCAATCAATGATATTCAATTATAAAAGACAATAAATGCACAACAAATATCATGTCAAATATGTAGCTACATAAAAAAATCTGCAAACAATATATATGACAATTTGCTTTTATTAATATTGTATTGAATGTGAAGGACACATAGTTCGAGGTCATTCGAGTCTCAAATTAAATGCACATTTTTAATTGTCGTAATATGACAGTGCTTTGTATACCTGTAGTGATAATTGTATTAGTAACTGCCAATGTTAACTCACTGTTGACTATACACACGCATTCACACACGCACGCACGCACGCACGCACACACACACACACACACACACACACACACACACACACACACACAGCACTATCGCTTCTTTTTGCTCTCTTTCTTTGGTTTCTGTCGGATCTGCGGGGTGAGTCCTTTAGGTTTCTTCATCTGTTCAGTGGCCTTTCCATCAGTGGACTCAGTCTCCTCCTGTAGAGCAAACACAGGAAGCATTAACCACCCTGTAATTTCAAAAGAAACCATCCGAGTCATTTTAAACATGGTGTAAAATGACAAAAAGTATGATTAGATAACCGTGATTTGAAGATGTATTTGGAAAATGCTTTTGGGGTCTCAAAACTCACACAAAGTTTTTTCCAAGGTATTATTTTCCAAGTAAATCTTGTCAATACACAGTCTGTGTTTTATACAAAATACTGTGCATACAGGGATAGTAATTAGTGATAACAAGCAATATACATTTTGGTTATGCAGTTTGTCATCTCTCCATATAGCTCAGACTCTGCTTGGACTTATCTCAATCAAATGGACGGTTGAATGAAATTCCCTGAGGTTTTGGAGCACAGATGCACACACAAATCAAACAAAAGAAATGCAGATGTCTTTCAACAGTTTCCCTCCGTCAGCACTGTTCCTGTCTTTGTATGGCGATACAGAACTACAGCAGGCTGCTATAAAGGATGAAATGGCGACATACTCTGGAGCGTAATCAGTGCATCTGATGACAGTGTCTGGAAATAGAATAATTAGTCAGTGGATTTAATTGCTCTCGTCTATAAATAATCTCTCCTGACAGTTGTTAGCATGGAGATTGTGGGAGTAGCCCTCCGTGGTACGGTCTTCATGGACATTCAAAAACAAGATATTGTACACTAAACTCTCTGATATCTGGTTTCTCTGTATTTCAGAAAATAGTGTTATTGCAGAACCTGTAGATCTGTCAAGCAAGATGGAAAAAAGAAAGATATTAATCAAACCATTTTCCTCGTTAGGCTGTGCCACACTGCGAATGTATCCGATTGAATTATTTTGATATAAGATGGAGCCACCAGAGAGAGCATTGTGTGGAAACATTTCTTGAGTGGAACCAAGCCACTCATTTGAGCCGATGACTGACACCAACCTAGTTCCTGGGTGTCTACCCACCTGTTCATGGGACTTAGATGTGGGGAAGATGACAGCCAGGATACAGATGAGCTGGAAGATGGCCCCCAGGAACAGCCCATAGCGCAGTAGGCTTTCTAGAAAGGTGGACTCAGGGACCTCTGGAGGAGACAGGTCCACTTCTGCAGACATGATGCTGCTGATTGGCTGTTTTTTGTTGGTTATCCTTCAGTGCACCTATCTGTGCAAACACTACGTCTAGCAGGAAACAATATAAATAAATTAAAATGTAATTAAAAATAATTTATAAAGCAAACAAAGGATGGCTTACTCTTTTCCACTTGCGGCAATGCATATGATATTTACCCATAGTAATGAATAATATGAATCATGTTAGAAATAGATGCATTTAAAGTTATCACAAAAGACAAGCGTGGAGGTGTGAATCAAATGATGTATTGTGCTCTCACATAGCCCTGCTGATAAAAACACATAGTCATAAACTATACCCACTGATACTAATAAACATACCGTACGTTTTCATTATGGACAGACGCAGCTAGGACACATTTACGTTACAACGGTAGATTGAAGCTAACGCTATGCATGACTTTCATTAACGTTAACATGTGGGAGAAGAAGCTCACCGGTGCCGTGGTTACTTCACGCTTCACTTATCGTTAGAGGAGTTTGTTTGTTTTTACATCAAAATCAGGGCTAAAAAAGTATGAACAAAGCTGCGAAACACAGAAATGCTAATTAAGCTTACAAAGGGAGAAAACAACACCGCTAACCGGAAGTGACGTGTAAGCCTGCGATCAACTTCCGACCGGGTGAATGATTGTTTTGAAAATGTCGACCTCTAGTGTGTAATATATCTTTATCATATTTTAGACTTGAAAACATAGAAAACTGTAAACTTTCAGTATCACTACTTTGAGAGGAAAGTGTTCAATACATTAATATAACAGTATTTATTTTACAATTCAATGTTGCTTTATTGGCATGAAAGTTTCAGAAACAATGTTGCCAAAGCATCAAAATAAAAAAGGACACAATAATATTAATATGAATGTCAACAACTGAAGCATGTAACCTGGTTAACAGTGCTGGCCTGTATTTACTCAAGTACTGTACTTCAGTTTCAAATTTGAGGTGATTTACTTGAGAATTTCCAACTCCACTTGATCAATCTCAGAGGTACTTTTAACCCCGGCACATTCACCACACTTTAGTTAGTTTTTCAGATTACAGTTTTTTTCATATACCCTCTATGTCCAGTGAAAACCATGTAGTATTTACTTATACCAGAAGTATTTAGACATAAAAAAAACTGTGCCAACAACTGTGTTGCATCAACAAATTAACACTGAGATAGGATTCTTCAGTGTCAGTACTTTCTTTGTGTGATACACTAAGTATTTAGATATTTTAGATTTACTGCTTTGACATGGTATCGGTGAGTTAGTCATCATAAGAGTCCTTGTACAGAGGATATATTATAGCAACTTGATAATGGTGGCTGAAGTTGGGCTTCATCGAAGGAAAAGTAATTTCAAAGACAAAGGGAGTCATGTTAGCTGTTAATTGAGAATATTTGATTTTCTCTATGGTCTATTCCTGCTATTAATACAAACACTGATTCAAATAAACAGAATCTATTTAATATAAAATATCTTATACATGCTTACAAAGAGCAATTGTACAAATAAATGAACAAAGATTAGTCAAACAGATTAATATAAAGACACAATAGATACACAATATAAGGTATAACACATGTTGTCTACTATCATTGCTAAGGCTAAAAAGTCTAAAGTCAAGATATAGGCCTATGTTTTTTATTGCAGCTCTTACAAGTACAAGCTTCCTCCAAGACATTCAGGATTTTATATTTTACATATTATGCTTGATGTGATGGACATCAGGCCTCCATGATCACTCTCCATTGTGGCCTTTCATGTCTCTTCTTATGATGTCATTCACTGTAAAACATTACAAACACGGTAAGCAACTTTAGTTTTCACAACTACGCTGTAATAAACAAAGACACCATGCTTTTTTTACGTAACATTTTGAAGTAGTTCGTCTGGTATTCTTCATATTGCTGTACAACATCCCTCAGGTCAATTTTTTGCACATTCTTGCACAAAACTGTACAGCGCTCTTCCACTTAAAAATAACATATCATTTTAGGCATTTCTTAAATTTTCCCATATTTTCTATTGTAAATATTACTATATTATTTCATCTCTCTTGACTATTGCACTGTGCTTATTGTTATGCGCCAAATTACCAAGATAAATGATTTGTATGTCCAAACCTACTTGAAAATTAAAGCTTCTCTGATTCTGATATTAATTTGTATTTATATTTGAAGGGTAGATTCTTTAAATTATAATAATTATAATACAACAGTGTTTTGTTTTTAATACTGCCAGCAGATGTCTCTAAAGTACATTTTTTGGGGGGCATTTTTAGGATTTTATTAGAGTGTGACATGAAGAGGTGACAGGAAATGAGAAAGTTGAGCATCAAAGGTCCTCACTTGGACTTGTGGTTTGTGGTTAAAGCCACCAGGGGGTCCCCAGAAAAGGTCTGATTTCATACATTCAGTTTAATTATGCCATGCATCTCCAATGTATTTTCCACTATGTTGATATTTTGTTGAGCCCAGATTTTTCTGATACTCTTTTTTTGGACTGATCAATTATGTCTTTCCTAACAAAACAAAGCAAACTTGTTGTATATGAGTCCTTTGACTGAAAGAATTGAACTATTAACACTATTAGATATAATCTCAAGAAACAAAGACAAATAAAAACATGAACACAATAGTGTGCTTTGTTAAATTTTCTAGAGATGCTAACTAAAACAGATTGTAGTAGTTATCTAAACTCTCACAATTACCCCAGTCTTTATCAGAGACCAGGACAAAGGACAATGCTGGGTCTGCATGTATTTGTGTATACAGTAAACTTCCTGTTTCTGTCGTTCATCACGGAGGTGTAAACAGAAACTTTTCCCCGCAGCAAACAAGGGCGAGGTACATCACTTGTTTTCTCACTCCATGATGGTGTTGCTTCTTTCTCCTCCATCATGCTCAAATACATCAGGTGTCATAAATACGTTGTATTAGATCTATCTTAAATGAGACTGCGCATGCGCATGAAGCCATTAGTGTGGTGAGTGTTTCGGTTGTGTGAGTGAGAGTGAGACTGAAAGAGACAGGAAAGTGGATAGAAAGGCCCAACACAAACCACAATGCAGGATTTGCAAGCATACAGTTGCAATGTGCTTGTATGCGTTTGCAAACTGGACCACAATTACCCATCTCTCAGACAGGTTTGCATGTTTGTTTGTTTAGTATTTTCCCCCACATTTACATTTTTGGGTGTAGCAATTAATGCAGTGTTTTCTACAACTCAGCTTAACGCTGCAGCGATCTGTTGGCTTGTCAAGGAGAACGCAAAAAAAGCTGAAGCAGAGATAGACACAGATCTATTAGCATCTTGATGAGACTCAAACCGGGTTACTGACTGATTGAGAGATAATGCAAATGTGTTGCCAATTTCTCTCTTAGGACAGCTGTATATGTAAAATATTACAATATGAAAAACAGACATGTGATAATCGTTTGAAAAACAGACATGTGATACCATGTTCACATGGTTTAAACAACATACACTTTTGATCAGTCTTCCCTCAAAGACGTACGAAAGTAATCATGTAAGAGAGTGCAAACCCTGCAAAGATGTGAGGATGGGGGGATGAAGAAGACAGCATGTAAAATAATTACTCACCATCCTCCAGGTAAGCATAGCGGAGAGTCTCTTGTTTGACTGTGACCCCCTCTGGAGCTCGTTCCTCGTGGTTTCCTCTACCAGAGCCGATCTGGGCCAGAGGCTCCGCTCGGCTTTCAGCCTTTCCTTGAGCTTGACCGTGGATGTATCTTGAAGGTGGTGACTTTCCCAGTGGCAGCGCTGTCTGCATATAACTCTGATGTCTTGACACCACATAGGCCTTGAATGAATCACCAACTTGAGGACCTTCGGCCAGTTTGCCCACAGGGGTTCTGACACTGACACACAGGCTGGGAGTGGAGGTAGGGTGGGAAGCCATCGGGGAACCATGGGGGGCAGTACCACAGTTGCTGTAACGTTGATTTGCAGTGTGGTAAAGCACAGGGTTGTTGATCAGAGTGCTGGCTCTGGGTTGGTAATAAACTGGCTGGTCGTCCAGTGGGTCAGGGATTAAGACGTGGGCTCTGGGGTCTACAGTGGCTAGATGGTACCTCGTTGGAGAAATATTCAAAGATTGAAGGTCGCTCTCCTGCTCCATGTGATGGTAAAGCGACTTCATTGACAGGCCAGACAGGGACTGATTATCTGAGTAGATGTACGAATTCAACTGGTAGTCATCCAGTGGTTCTGCTTTAATGGCTAGAATTAAAAGAACACAAAGGTGAGATAAATCAATGTAGGTCTGTCATTAGCTCACTGACAAGAGTGCAAGGACAGAAACAAGAATAAGAGTCAAAAGCCACACTGCCAGCACAGTGGTACTTCAAGCTAAATGCTAATATAAGCATGTTAAACATCCTCACAATGGCATTGCTAACATGCTGATGTTTTTTAGCTTTTGTTAATTACCAGGTTCACCATCCTAGTTTTACTTAGGGGTTCTAAACCTTTTGTAACTTAAGGCCCACTTCTTATTGTAAAAAAAAAATCAAAACATATTCTGGTTACCCTCACCCATCACTGGCTGCCATTATGAATCAGAATTGAATGCATATTTCCTGGGCCAAAGTACTGGGCCAATTCAAATTTTGACCTGATGGTGGAGCTTGATGAAAAGTAAGAGGATCACCAACACAGGAAGGATTCATACTTTGGGGACCATGAATATCTGTACACGATTTCATGACAATCCATCAAATAGTTTCTGAAATATTTCCGTCTAGACCAAACTAGTGGAGCAGCTGACCAACAAGAAAAGGTCCAAATGCATGTTAAGTGTGTTGCATCAAGTCCTGCAGAGGGAGGTTTGTGCTGATAGAGGTGAGGACGACTGACTTTCCCTGCTGACCCCATGGGGAACACTGATGGCCTTCTAGTCATCATCCCATTCTCAAACATTCAAGGCACCCCTCTTCCTCCTGAGCCCAGCGCTGTCATGGCGGACAGATACATACCTATCATAGGAGTGTAGATGAAGTGCTGAGGCTGACTGCGTTTCTTCTTCCCGTTGATGACGTAGAAGTTGACTTTGGCTGGGTGGGAAATGGTCCGGTTTCGATACGGAGGGACCTCAACAAAGAGCATGTTCTAGACGGGGATTGCGACACAACAGAAAAAAAGATCACGCTTCAGACAAACAGTCATGTTGAAACAGAGATGCGTAGGCTGCCCCAAATGTCACACTTTTATGTTTCAAATCAAAATCAGCATCAGAAATAAAACTCTTTCAATATGATACACGTAGCAGTATGTTGTGTGTGGTCATAGGTTTTGTGTTTAGCTTTCTGTTTATGTGAATTTGTAACAGACAATGCTGATGTAATGATCAAATACATTTCTACAAAAAGCACATAATTGGTTATGTAAAATGATGCTAGTGCGTCAATACATGTATCATTACAGGTAAGTGTAAGTTAACTCACAGCTTGTGATTTGTCTCTGTCAACAGTGGCCTCCACCTCCCAGATTTGCTGCCCATCTGTAAACAGAGGGAATACAGTGTGTACACACATTAAAGCAAGTCAGTAGTTTGACATTTTGAGCAATACGCTGTCTTGATGAACGA